TTGTATTTTTTTCATTACCTGGTAATTATCAGATATTTATAAAAACTTATTAATGGAAATATGTAAGATTCAAAGAAATCCAACTCGAGTCCCATATGTCCAATATCGATCTGAAATTTTAGATGAATATTAGAATGGAACCACGAAACCAGCCGAATCTTACTTTGGTTTTGAATTCTCGGATAATTATTCGATGATCATGGAAGTTTATATCGATCTTAGATCAATACTAGTCATTGCGGAACACAACTTGAAATCTGGCTTTGGTTTTGAATTATCAGATGTTATGGATAAAATAGGTTTCGGATCAATATTCAACAGAGTGACCACTATGGAAGTAAAGTTCCATAGAATGTCTAATATTGATCAAAAATTTCGATAAGATCGATATTAAGTCGATATTACACATAGTCACTAGTCATATGCAGTGTCCCGGGTTCCTTGTTAAATATGCAGTGTCCCGGGTTCCTTGTTAAATATGCAGTGTCCCGGGTTCCTTGTTATCATTTTGCTTTCCCGTTAATTGTGACATATATACATCGAGGCACTTTTCAGAGATGAGTAAATATCGTAATGTTCGTGAAGTGGGTTAATATTTAGTCGGTGTTTATAACCATTTTGTTTTAAGTTGCATTATACAGATATGGTTTTAAAATCTTCAGTATCTCAGACAACCAATAATTGTATTCTCGGGGGCGGACATCCGGGCATTTTCTACCGCCTGGCAACCCTCGCGGTGAAAACAAAGACCAAAATCTCGCAGAAAACGGTACTTTGCGATGGTTGTTGAGAGTCCCCTGAACAGTGTAACAAGATTAGCCCTACGTGTGTAACATATATGAATTTGGTTGTTCAGGATTACTTCAAAGTTGAGTTTGTGTTGTTTTCTCGAGTTTTCACCGGCTCCACCGGCGTTCCACAGCAGCGCGCACAGAGCGTGGTACAGTGGTGCGCGTCTTAGCAACGTAGAACGTCCGTGACGTAGCTCCGCCCCCGAGGATTAGTTGTCTGAGGTGATATTAAGTTCAGGTACAGTTTTGGCCGACGTACGGATGGTGGGATAGCCGGCATACATATCTACATGTGTGTGGCACGCCTCTAAAAATACTAAAAGTTTTTAAATTGAACCACGTGGGACATCAGGTAGAGTGACAAGTTTATTATTAAAATTAGTACCTTTGTAATTCACAAATTCAAACGCATGAGTCGGGATGTAAATTGCCTAACACAGCATGTGCATTACATGGTTACAGTGACAGCTTGGACTTGGTGGTTCAAAAGATCGAAAGCTTTGTATAGGCCCAGACTAGTAATACAATTGTATTACTAGTCTGAGGTATAGGGTACAGTAAACAACGTAAATTTACATTGTTAATCACTGGGGAATCCAGGTAACATTTGAACACGTTCAAACGAAGAAAGTTTTAACTTTATGACAGTAATATTCAAGGACTTTGAAATTTGGTATTCAATGTTTAGAGGGACCAGCTGACTCGGTCCTGCTATAAAGCGTTCATTACTCGTACATGTTCAATACAATCCGGTAACTGAAAGACGTCATTGAAAATGTACCACCTCCACTCCAACTTGAAAAACCAAACGATGATGTTTTCTGGGGGCTTTTTAACGATAAAGTTGTGCTATTATTATCTTATTGTTAGCGTCACTGAACGAGGAGTTAGTATGGGTCGTTAAGAGTGAAAAACAACCTATTACCATACAATGGCGAATTCCGCAATTACTGTGGGGTAGTCCGGTAGAAGTTTCGGGGGAGCGTTAATCGAAATAAACATGTTTTGAAACGTCGCGTTTATGATTGTTTTTTTTCACATATAAATGTCAAAAACAAATTGTGTGTGAGCGTATTCGTATTATTGTGGAGATTATATACTTTCTTTTTCCTCTGAAATATCATTGGGCCAAGCCTTACTGAAGTTCTCAATGTGATAAACAACTCGGTCACGTGACATCAAGTTGAGAATGTTCCAGCGTTATTGTTAGAACTTATTTACAAATGATTTAACATTCTGCGCCATTGTCCTGTCAAAACGTCAACTTTACTGGCATAATGCTGGTATTAAGGGCTCGGCCACTGAAAATATTGGGTTGACATTCACAGTGGTAATTTTACCAATATCCACTATGATGTCATCAAAAAGAACATTTACAAGATGACAAGACAGCTGCATTCAAATTGGCGTTACAAAAGCGTCAATGCCACCTGCCTGTGTCACTGTCCAAGGTCAATTCATCGAACTCGATGGTCAATTTATGCATAGTCCCCCAATGGTAAATACATGTACCTCCATGCTCAATGTGAAAATGCTGGGTATTCCCGTGATGTTGCTGTACCATAAAATCTCGCTTTATTCAGTTAAAAATGACTCTAAGTTGAATATTTCCCATGAAAGTTAGTCTATGTTTGTATAACTTCCGTGTCACGTTTATTGTCAATCGTGGCTAGCAACCCCGATTCATAGCACAATGGCTGAACCCTAAATACTCAACTACGTAATTTGTTTTCGGTATTTCCACTTTTCAATTTCTCCATTGTATGGTAATTTCTATTCAAGTACAAGCGATCTAGGTCGCTAGCGCAGCACGCACACCACAAAGTACTCAAATACCCGTGAATAATTTGCGCACATAGCATATAGAAGTTCAAGTTCTCCCCGTATGTGTAAAATTCACTTTCACATACTGTAATTTCTCAGTTTTGAAAGTTCATTTCAATTTCTTGGACATTTTTGTGTTTTTAACAATCAATTCTGTTTATTTGTGGATTTCATAGAGTTGTGAATGGTTGAATGGTTTTTTAAATCTTCATCATCACCGGCCACTATATGCCCCGCGGCGGCATCTATATTATGTCCTATTCAGTTGACGTGTGTTTTTCTCATGGTCCATGTAGTGACTTCATTTAATTTGCCAGAGCGAAAATAGATCAATGTATTCTGTCATAACATCTGATGATATTGACAACATCCCGTGTTGTTATGGAGTACTGAGCGGTATCAGTAATCAACTTCAAACATATTTTTAAAATAATATTTTTCAATTATGACAGCATGGTTAAATGTGTCCTTATACGCAATAATAATAATAATAATAATAATAATACGCAATAATATGTCACTGGATTGTAAAACTATCAATGCGTCATCATTTTTTCTTTGATAGCATAATTTCGCTGAGTTGCAGAATACCTGCCGAATTTCCCATAGCGCGTGTCGTCGGTGGATTACATATTTAGTCACATGACCCAGAACCCCAACGCCACTTATGATGATTAACTACAATAATAATAGTTAAATGAGTGACGTACTTAACACAAATAGATGCCCTGATATCACTTATTAATGCATTAATTTGCAACAATCACCATACACGTGTATGCAAATGATTGTAAGGTATTAGTTAAAAAATCATTTCTATTTCATTTTTTTTCTTCATATCTCACAGCTGTTGACGAACGCAATGGTTCTGTTTTTTGTGATCGTTGAATGAATTGCCTTGTGAGCTGGTATGTACATTTCGTGATTTCAGTTATGCTGATGTTGACTCGAACATCGTTATCTCATATTAACATTACTTCGTTAAATATCAACTCCAAAAAAATGTAAACATCGATCACGCGATTCTCAAATGTGTATTTTTACAGAAAAATAAAAATGATTAATTTGCATCCAAGTGTATTTACCTATATTTCATAAATGGCTGACTGACGAATATTGTATTATAATGTAATAACCTTTTCCATGTATGCATTGTGTTTATGAATATTTAATTGACAAGCTAATGCGATTAGACACATTACCATACAGATTGTATTTATATCGTTAACCCGTGTGGGTACCATGGCGGTCGACGCAACAGGATCATGAGATATCCCCAATGCTTTAATACATGTACAACCATGGACGTACTACTTCATTATAGTGGGTCCATGATCGAACTCTGCAAGGCGATGGTAGCTAATAATAGTGGTCCTTGAAAGTATTATTGTTTTTAAAAAAAAATACAGATAATTGAGCGTGTCAAAGACTTGTGCACAGACCCTGATTTGTGGATAACTCGTAAATGCTAACACATGTGGTCTACATATCATACATTATAAAGGTGTAATAGCAGCAGATTTGTGACGTCACTGTTATATTGATCAAAGATGCTTTAAATATCAAACATATTGGTTTTCCACCTCACGTGCATTGATAAACGCATGTGGTGGCATTTTATTCATTGTGTCATGCTGACGTCACTAACGTGTAGTGGGAAGTACCCCCGTAATACGGGAAGTTCACAGAAAATACGGAAGTCGCTTTGTATGTTAAAAATCCGCCACTTCGTCATTGGATCAAACGTAGCACTCCAGGTAAAATTTAACATGTTGAATTATACACAAGCTCGCATATAGCTTGGAATCGTTAGTGACACCGTTAATTCAACAATTATTAACTTTTCATGGTGTTTTATTTTTGGATATTACTAGTAGCAGGTATGAGACGTTTCTCACCTGCTGGCTGTTCTATCATGTGTCAACAATTTTAAATGGTTTGATTATTCGCAACAAAAATATCAACTCTTTATAACTAAATTAAATTCACGATCACCTGTGATTTAGATAAGTTTACTACGTTGTGGAAAATACTAAGATTTCTACGACTTTGGGTAAAATCAGTCGATACAAGGTGTATGTGTGGGGAGAGTGATAGCTAACAGACTCTCCGCGCATTGTCTAAAGTACGTGGAAAATACTACTTTTCTGTGGGGAGAAAAACTAGGATAAGTATTAAAAGAAGCTTCGGCAATTTATTTTGTTGAATTATACTTAGCTAATGGCGGTTGTACGTATATTATATTTGTTATCTAACTAAACTTGATATAAATGGTAGATACTTGATCGAATTTGGCAAAGAGGAATAGGGGTACTTTACTTCCCACTGTATATAATGCAATCGCCCACATATCCGATGACGTCATGATTTAATATTCAAGGCTGAGCTTCATTAGGAAAACAAGCGAGTCAGTGGACGGCCATATTGGCCTAAAATTTCGTGTTTTTTAATCCGTTTTAAAGAAATATCTGTTCATTATTAGGACTCAAGACAACGTGAACATGCTTTTTAGCTTACGAAGGATATACGGGTTCGCGGTGGTGCTGATTTTCCTGAGGATAGGATCTGTTCTCAGCGAAAATGGTATGTATACATTTTCTTTGGTGTGTCATTTCATTTTGCCGTCTTGGATATTTTGCCATTCATCTCTCGCGCCTGCTTGTCCCTCTTCTAGAAATTGGGTGTTGTCCCTCGAACGTTATACTGAATTCCTTCTCGTGCGGATAGACATAAGTGTTCTGTCATGTGATTTATTGTGGATAAAATGTTGCAGTGGACAGCTTGGTGGCTATTTTAACGATAATTCTGTGCGTGACCTGAACTACTGAACGCATGTCGAAGGAGGCTTTGTGTGGGGCCAGACCGAGGGACAAAGCTTGTGTCATTACTAACTATAACTTCTACGACTCTTTTTCCATTTATTTGCGAGCGAAAACAAAAATAAGTAAACGATAATATAGTTACGATGTCGAAATTACAATGCTATTAGAGTTTGTTTCGCCCTCAGACGGATGTGCCGAACGTCTCATGATAATTTTGCTATTCTTCAGTTTTAACAAAATGGCGATTCGGATGAGTCAATATCTTCCAACTGGAAAATTCATTAGTTTTCTTTATCAAATACTACTCTCCTGTATGTTTTTGTTCGTATATTATCTACATAAAATGTTATTATTCTAATCTAAACACGTCCGATATGTTAACAAAGGTAATTCAATTCTTTCTTCATATTGTCGATATCGCAATCGAACTCGGTCTCAGTGACATTGGTTAACTTGTTTGGCTTCATTTTCTGTCTGTAAATAGTTCACCACTTCATTTTTATTTAACATACAATTGGCACGGATGTCGTGTAGACAATACTGTATTGCATATTGTATTGGTCGTGTTTGTTGCTACATTGGTTCGAGGCAATGTTTTTAGCATATATCACGGCTGCGCAAATGTGGACCTCTGGACCGTATGTATTTTGGTAGCAAATTCTGTACATGTTCGTCGGAACTAATAAAACTAACCGGAAGTCCTTTGATCTAACTTCCAAGACTAGAATTATGACTAGCCAGTTTCCTTCCTACTCCAAACCTGTTATTAATTTATTAAGTCCTTTATCTGTTCTAAGAGCTAGGTTTGTGTTGCTAAGCTGCAAGCTGAGGTCTGAATTACATGACTACATTCGAGTTTTCAAGGTGGTGGGTCATTAATGGTGCTAGTAAACCAAAATTCCATTTTTACTTGATGTACAGTCTGTATTGTAGATGCTTAAAATTGGCTAGTATTTGCCAAGCTCCAAAGATCAGACTCTCCACTGTGGCACTGAAAGGAGGCATAATCATGAGATTGCATTGAAAGTAAGATGACATGCAGATATCTGCCATTGTGAATGTACAATGTCAATGTTAAGTGCCTGTTGATTGACAGTTCACTCTGTACTAGTGCATCCTTTTAACAAATCAGTGGCTTCTGTTAATGGACCAGTTCACTAATGTTACTAACTTCGATCTCATTCAATATAACATAATGTGTTGACGCTTGTTGGCACCTTTGGCCCCCAAAAAATGTGTGGATATGTAAACATGCTCTTCCAAATAATGGTAGGGTGAGTCAGATTTAAAAGTTTGTTTTCGACGCGCATCTTATTTGCACTATGTCACTGAACACCTAGTACCGACGTTTAAATGTGTTAAGTTCTAAATTTGGCAAAAAATGTTGGATAATAAATTTAGTGTCATTGAAATTTTGAGTGATTTTGTGCAATTTTTTCATGTTTGGCTCCAAAAAAGTTCAAGTAGGAAATAAGTCTTGGATAGGATAAGGTCATCAAACAGCAAAACGAAGTGTGTATTAGGCCTTTGCTGAGAGAATGGATTTGTTGAAAATCTGTTCCTTCACATGTATGGCAAGTGGAATTGTAAGCAGTCAATATTTGACCCTGCTGATTAAACATGCATTTTACTGTATGTTGATTGATAATTTTACCTGTACGAGTATGTGCATGCATGCATGGTTGATGTCAATCAATTGATGTACTAGTATATATCCTCCATTATAAAATGAACTCTGTAGCATATCATACTGTTGAGAATACTGTAAAGAGGTTAATTATTCACTGTGTTTTAATTTTGCTTATTTCGCTGACTGGAAAATGCGCTAAATTAAAACCCAGTGAATATGTAAAATTTAGCATAGAACACATTATCTAAATGATAAAACCGTGAATTTAAAACCCAATGAATATGCCTGAAATGGTTAATCAGCGAAATTTAAACCCAGTGAAAATTGGTCATTTGACAGTATCAAGCTGATCGTCATGCATGATTTTGACAAATGAAGTGTTAATTTGTCGGCCATTGTTGAGGGTAGCAGTTTTGAACTTAGTTGAAGGGAAGATGTGTTAATTGGTCATTGGGGAACGGCATATCATAGATTCTATAAGGTTCAAATAGAGTAGTTGTATTCAAGTGATTACCTTGCCCTGCAAGCCAGTGACGAGAACACTTTGTTGCTGTATTGGCTGCTATACTTGTGTGAAAATCGCAGGCCAGCGCAATGCGCACATACAAATATGCAATACTACATTGTTTATGTGAATTGAACTACTGGTAATTCTCTGTATTGAAACGGGTCAGTGGTGCAGTAGATTACTAGGATTTATGTTTGGATGAAAAATCAGAAAACTAAACTGTACAATAGATACACAATAGAGATTCTCTTGCATCAAGGGGTTACACCTATACCTGCTCAAAGTACCATATATTGGGAGTAATCCTATGGTCCTTGAAGTTTATTTGCTGTATATTTAAATTAGGATGTTACATGGGTGTTTAAAGGCCATGTTTTGCAGCACGACTCCAAGATGTAGTCTTTGTTTTGGAGTATGGTTTCCAATTTGTGTTTTGATCCTTCTTTGACCAGTAATCTCAGCGCATCTGTAATTTATTTATCGTGAATGTTGCTTGAAATAACTTCTGTTATATTCAGCGAGTCATAAAAATTCCTATTTTTAGTTAGCTAAAGCAAAAACCAATATGATTTGATGGTTTTTTTTTGTTACTTTAATTAGATGTTGAGAAAGTACATGTAATGTCTGTTTAGAAGAACCCTTATAAAACCCTACCTGGGCCTGCTCATAAATTGACTGTTTTGAGTTTAAAAGGTTAAGGATCTCTGTGCTTACAAGGTTATTTGTAACATAACAGTGTTAATTTGGCAGCAACTGCTTGCTGTGGCCCATGCACACATAAACCGAAAATCACATCACATCACATCATATTCTACTTAATAATTTTGACCACACACACATGCCTGTTGTGCTCTACTGGGTCAACATTGTACCTCAGTTTTATAATTTTAAAACCTTGAAATCATCTGATATCAATTGGTAATATATTTCTTGTGAACAAAAAAAAGCGATAGGGTCAACTTGCTACCCATAAACAAGTTTCACCTGGTGAACTCTATTCTGTTGACTTGTAATCAAGTACTAAATCATGGTCATTGCAAATGTATTAATCGTCTTGAAAGCAATAATTTTTCCAGCCATTTTTGTAGCCCCGGATCCCTGTGTAGTTTTGGTGTGTTTACCAGGGTTCTCCCCAGGGCTTTTTAGCGCCGAGGTCCGCGGCGCTATACCTGTGAATCTCGGCGCTTCACTTGGGACCTCGGCGCTATGTGTTCCCACCTCGGCGCTTGATTTCATATTTGACATGCCAATATCAGATGTGAAAAAGCTTTGTTCGCCACGCCG